TTTGTATTAGCTAGATCGAGTTCAGTCGCTGACTGATGCAGAAGGAGGCCGACTGTTCTAATCGGTAGTCTTCCGTGATTTCTCCTATCAGTAAAGGGGCAAATGCCGGATCAGTACTTTAACAAACGTCCCACGGAACTCGCACGATCTTTTCTTTGCCTGCCTTGTTTTGTTCTCATCCCTCACACACACACACACTTCCCTGCACCACACATGTCGGAAGATCAGAGTTTGTCCTGGCTGGGGTGGTACTTCGCTGGTGAGAGATCCCTAGTGGGTGAAACTCCCGCAAACCGACTGGAAGGTCGGTACCGGATCTCACCATCCGACTGGGAATGATCACAGCCAACGTCCGCGATAGAAACGTGCACAATATTTACGGGAATAACGGCGTTAGCCGTCGACACGTTTGGAGTCCCTCATCCCTCCCGGTCACTCATCAGTGCACGCTTGGAATAGATCAAGTAATATGTGCGTCAGCGAAGTGGCATTGGCTGCATTTGGGACTATGTGGCTGGCTGTTCGCCTCTTTTTGAGGGTGGGTGGCCAATCAGAAGGCAGGTGCCTTTCCCGGTCTGTTGGACCCGTTCTCGGTAGCAGTGAGACAGATTTGATCTTCAGAGGGGGACGCAACAAAGAAGTCCAGCTTTTCGAGAGAAATTGGGCAACATCGCAGAGGAATCGCATTTGCAAATCCGCTGAAGGTGAATCTGAAATGGTACCGGGTTTTAATGTTGACTATAGTAGGGGTGGATTTGCATTCATTATTATGGCAGAGTATTGAAGAATTTTATTTATGAGAATATTAACTGTTTTAAAAACTGAAAAAGAAGCGTATTGAATGAGGGCCAGTTAATTTACATTCAATAAACTCTCAAGTACAGATTCCCATTTTATCGTTTGGTTTCCATCGGCATAAAATGGCTGATGGAAACCAGACCAAATGCTTGATTCAAACCGTTCCTATTCTTGAATCCTGGTGGAGCGAAGAATTCAGACACGAATCTCGACAACAAGTAAATCGCTGATATAGAGGTGATCGTTTCGCGATGTCTAGAAGGGAATTCAAAAGTCCGGTGGTTGGGATCTGTCCTCGTATCCTTTTAATATTTGCTTCCGGTTGTCGGAGCTGTACAAACGGACTGTGCATCCGCGCCATCCTTTCCCATCAGTGGGCTCTCCTGATGCGCTGATCCCATTTGCCACATGCCCCAACCCCATGATTGAGAAATTTGGTAGAAGCACAAGTAATATAATGCCATTCCTGTCGAATGAGACTTCACAGAATTGGAATAAAACGTAGATAACGTGTCTTAAAGACACGTAAAACATGAAGGTTAGGAATGCCAATGCGAATTTCTACCGAACAACTCAAGGCAATATCCGATTCAGAAACTTTTTATTATTTATATCAGAGATCGCTATTTATATCCAAGAGCATACAGAAAAAGATTTTCCTGTGGCTCTTGTAATTTTTTTCGCATGGAGGTGAGACTATAGAGATAATGGGATTATCAGGTGGTTTGTTGCGTTATAGTGCTTGTAGATATCTCATTCTTTCGTAGCATTTTCTTTTAGTATTAAGTGTGTACTGGCGTATTTTAAATGTCGGGTGGTCTGCAGGTACAGGACAACCCAGGCTGCCCCATGACTTTCCCGTTGCAAAGGAACCTGCAGTAGGTCGGGGACATGGACATCCTGCCGGTGCTTCCAGAGCGACTGCTCCAGCCCAAACGGGCTACTACGCGTACCAAAACGTGCACACTCATGTTCTCCCAGGTCGAAGGATGATAGTTTCCGAATGCAGAACGCAATTATCTCAAAACGGATCTGTCACGGCCGTTAGGAACGGGCGCGCAGTGTTGGCTGGTGATGTGCCGGACATCCCCGAGAACGCAGGTGAGCAGAATAAGACGGAAGGACCAAGAAGTCCCAATGCAATGTTCCTGAGATTGCTCAGAGGCAACATCATGACCTTTCACAATAGTTCATCAGGAGGTCCTAGGGTTCCAATTCCAACAGTGGCAGATATTCCGCCAGCAACCACGTACCTGGATTGAATTCTACGTATGGAGACTTTAGCGGACGGCTGCTCTGATCGGCAGTTTTCCGTGGTTTCTCCTATCAATTCCAGGTGAAGCAAGAGCAGTAGTTTCAAAATGGGCCAAGAACCATGCGCAATCTTACCTTCCTCGTTCGTGTCCTATCCTCACTGCTTACACACGCTTCCACTTACATGCAGTACACTACCACATATGGCGGGTGACCAGTCGGCAGCGTAGAGCTTGTCCCGGCTGGGGCGGTGCCCCACATGGGGGAGATACTTGGAGGGGGAGACCTCGCAATCGATGTCTATGTCTGCGCCCGATCACATGTTCTGGTCGAGGAGGAACATCACCGCATCCCTGGATATAACCTACACTGAAGTCACGCAATGATCATCTAAGATATAGAATCACCTGGGGTCATTTAATTGTTCACAAGCGAGAATATCTTGCGTAAAAAGTTGTTTCTATTTAATGAGTGATGAGTGCGTAGGTACACCCTGATTTCAGCTAGAAGGTTTTATTACTTTCTCGCTGCGGAGTACAGGGAATCCATGTTTTGTGGGACCTTGGTACTGAAAAATCGAATGACGGCAAAACGTCCGTCGGTACGTGTTTAACACTAGCGGCTAAACCGTTCAGCCGATTTTCTCCAAAATTGATATTTCTGAATCTATCTGGTTGGGGTCGCGGCTCCTTGAATTTGAAACCGATATTTTAATTTACTTAACATGAAGCCACTGAGACATTTTCCGAATTTTCAAACAAATTGCTCCATCGTTTTTTATTAAATTTTGTTGAATAGTGTCAAGGACATTTAAAAGTATTGTGCAGGTCTCATTTTCGTTGATAAATGATTTTTGAAAAATTTCAAAACATTAATTTGTTTTCGTCATCTTCCTACAACAACAATTGAAAATGTGAAAACCAGAACGTTATAAGTGACATTTTATAAATTCTTTAAAAATTTTATTTTGGGTTGTATTTCAGCGGCAATGTATTTTCGTGATTTTAATGATCAATTGAAATGATTTAATGATAACACAAAGTACCACGATTTCACATTGATATATGCTTAAATAAACATATGTCACTTCTGTCGTTCTAGTTTTCACCCATTCAATTATTAAGGTTGATATGTTTTCCTTAATGAACTCTGTTCCTTAAATATAGATTTTGAAATAAAGTCATGTACAATTTTTCGCAAATTTGAGAACTTTTCGCGTAATTTTGCGTGAAAGTACGGGAGAGAAAGAACGTGCTCTTTTAGCACTAGTTACTTGGTTACTTAACTTTGCCAATTCAAGTTCTACCCAAGACCTATCACAATATACGTTTTCGGTCGCTATCAGTTGGCTTTGTGTTGACATACCTGCCCCGTCATTTGATCACTGGTGCGGCAAATGGAGCGTAACCAAATGTATCAATTATCGATGTCAAAGGTAACAAGTTTGCAATTAGATCTTCGAGTTTAAAGAATTGTTAGTAAATGTTCAGTTTAACGAGATTAGAGTTATTGATCAAGTTAGCTAGTGTCTGATCTGTATTAGAGTTACTGATATTCTATTTAACGATGTTCCCGTCAACGACTCTCGCGTTCGCAATGTTCCAGCTAAGGATGTTCGAATTATTGATTTTGGAATTAACCAATATTCTGCTTGGAGTTGCAGAGATTGGGGTTATCGGTAATCGAGTCACTGTGGATGTATTGAGGTATAATTAGCAGACTCACGAGGTTCTAAATTAGGAAAATCGAAGAACGACTAAACGAAGCACAAGCTAAACATGTAAACAGGGCTGGAGATAGTACTTATTATCTATAATGTCGGTAACAAATACTTCAGTTGTGGTAGGGCGTTACAGTGGACCCTCAGTATCCATGATGCAAAGACGTTTCTGTTAAACGAGATTAGATTTGGACGTTCAAAATGCTACATTTCTATTCTGGAGTTACCGAGGCGTGATTTCTCGATGTTGGAATAACCGAGCTTCAAATTAGAGTTCAAATTGCGTGAAAGCAATTTTATGCGTTGGAGTTCGAGAGATAATAATAATAATAATCCATATTCTATTTACCAAGCTTCGTAATGTAGATTTCGAGTTCAAATTAATAATTCAAATTACTTTTCAAGTTAACAAGGTTCGAATTGTAGATGTTTAAGTGAACGGGGTTAAAATTATCGGTGTTGTAAGTGATGAGATTCGAATTCTGGACTTTTTTAGCGTATTATCGATGTTTGATTTTATTTGAGGTTCAAATTATAAATGTTCGAGTTAGCGCATTTCAAATTAAAGATTTTCGATTAAAGAGATCCGATTTATTGTGGCGTGGTAAAAAGAGATTCGAGATTATCCGTGTAGTAAACGGGGTTGTTAGTTTTTTAATCTCCAGCTGTGAAGAAGCGAGATTCCGCCGAGCCTCGTGCCGTTCTGAAGCGCGCTTTGCTTACTGATATCGAGGAAAGGTTCAGTTAAACGAGATTCGATTTGGATGTTCAAGATGCTACACTTCGATGCTAGAGTTACTGAGGTGCGAATTGTCAAGCTTGAAATAACCGAGCTTCAAATTATAGAGGATCAGATGTTATGTTAGCACTTATCGGCTTTGGAGTTAGCTAGATACCAATGATCAATATTGTGGCTTCCAATCCTCATAATTAAATATTTCGTGAAACTGAGGTTCGAATGATCAATTTTCGAGTTAAGGTTCGAATTATAGATGTTCGAGTTAACGGGATTAGATTTATCGTTGCTGCAGTTGAGTTTTAATTTATAGATATTTGTGTACCGAGTTTCGAATTATAGATTTTTGAGTTAACGGGATGTTATTTATTGCGGTGCGGTAAAAAGAGATGCGAGATGACCCGTGTAGTAAACGGTGTTGGAGGTTTTAAACATCTCCGAAGCAGCGAGGTTCGCGAGTGCCGAGCCGCGCTGAAGCGGGCCTGTCCACAGGCTGCGCGGCGTGTACGCCCGCTACAGCCGCAACCGCAGCTCGGGCCCCGGCGCCTGCCGCTGGCTGCTGCGCGCCCTGGCGGCCTTCGGCGACGACGAGCCGCGCGTGGGCGGGGGCGTGAGCCTGGGGCTGCCGCCGTGGGCGACGCGCCGCAGGGGACGGGGCGGCGCCGCCTCGGCCATCGCCCCCGCGCCGCGCCCGCGCCCGCCCCCGCGCCCGCGCTCCCCCGAGAGCGACGACGACGACGATGACGATGATGACGACGAGGGCGAAGGAGCGGCGGCGCCCGGTGCCGGCCTGCCCCAGGCTGCTGACCAGGTGGGCCAGGAAGATCCCAGCGTCGCGGTGTCGATGTTCCAATGGCATGAGAGCAATCATCAGTAGATAACCTGGCGCCTTGGCACTGGGTTAAGAACTCTCCATAAATTACGTAACGCAAATTTGAAGGAGCCAACCTGGATGGTCGCGGTGGCTGAGAGCGTGTACCGACTCAGCGCTTCGGACCGAAAGGTCGCGGGTTCGATCGAGTCTCGCTTTTGGCATGATTGTTTTGTCCCTTGTAAGTGTTGTACGTGTGGACGTGTATGTGTTGACGCGGAAGGCCTGGCGTTCTGCTGACCCCAGATCAGAGGATCCCGCATGTGTGTTGGTGTTTAGTGTGTGGAGGAATGTGCGCCTCGATGGAACGTAAAGGATAACCAGCTGACGGCTGGACAAACGCTGTAGAAAAAAATTTAAAAGTATTTTGAATACCCTATCTTTGTCTGAAACGTGCTTGAACCCCCGCCACCTAAATTATTACGTAACGCTTGCGGCAGACCCTCCCCACATGAAGTAGAAATAAATTACAAAGCAGTAAGAACGAGTTAAAGTAATTTTAATATAAAAATATCATAAAATGTAATTAAAAAATCATGAATAAAAACGCAATTACTAGGTGATTCGAACTGCGCCTAACAATAGTATTAGAGACAATTTTTTAATGAAGTACGCGTTGGCGAGGAAATTTGTGACAAGTGTTCCAAACGCTGACATGGATGACGCGTAGGCCCCAAGTTAACTGCGCGAATTTAATTGGACTCTAGAATATTCTATGTATTAATTTCGAATTACTCAATATACCATTGATGAAAAAATATTTCCTTTTCCATCATTACTTTTTTAGTTTATATTTTTAATTGAATTTGTTAATATTTTAATGTTAGTTATATAAGTCTGTGTAAAAAAGGAATTAAGTAATAATGAAAAACATTGAAAATATCAGCATTAAGCAAAAATATACTATGACCCCCCTCCCCTTATGTAACGCAGCGTAACACTGCTCCAAACTCCCTCCCCCCCTCTTTACCGTTTCGTAATTTTTGGACGACATCTAAGGGATCTTGCGGCTAAGATGGTATAACAGTTAGCATCGGAATGTTTTTCTTGATGAAGGTCAATGAATGAGAGACTGTGATTGCTGACAGCAGACGAGCTCCTTCACTGTCTCGTCGTCAACGGACTTCCTTCCTTCTAAAGTTCGTAAACAAATGTGCACTAACAACTTTCGTCTGTATTTGTCAAATACCCCCTTTCCGGTCGAGTTGGTTCAGCGACAACTTCTGCCGCTACAGTGTCTGTGACGGAGAGGTCTTAGGGTCGAGTGTCAGTAATCACGTATTTTCGACATCTTTATATTTCTGTTGAATTTAGCCGCTGCAGCGCGCTGCTGAAAAGAATTGTAGCAGCATGCTGCTTTAATCGTAAACATAAGCACTATGCTACCCCACATCTCGGGAGAGCAGTCAAGTGCTTTAGAGCTTGTCCTGACTGGGGCTGTGTCCCGCTGGTGGAGATGCGTGGAGAGGGACACTCTTGCGACGACATGTCGGTGGGTGCTGGTTCTCACGTCCCAAGGGGGAAGAATCACCGCCACCTCCTGCGATGTAACATGCACTACACTTATGGAACTAATAACCATTAAAAATTACCACAAACGCAAGCTCAAAATAATTAGTTAGCAATTGCGTCCAATAAACGTTTTTTTAACGTTTTCTGCATTAAAACACTCCCAGAGGAAAATTATTCGGTACAATAGTTCGTAAATTAGTGGCCTGTAGCATAAAAAAGGCTACTGGACAAAATCACACCCAATTATTTTGCCAAAAAGTTGCACGCAAAGTGCTAAAGAATAAATAAAGGCAAATAAAATACTATCTTATAACACTGCAACACAAATTGAATATTTAAACAAAAACCGTGTTCCCGAATACTGCAAAAACAAAGTCTGGTATATAGAGATACATACCACAACAGTTTTTTAATACCAAGAATGTCAAAAGTTGCTGTTCCATAACACAACGGGAAAAGGAAATAATTAAAAGCAGCCGGCCTCTTCCTCTACGCCTTGCTGTTACGTTACGTCAGATGTGTCATGAGCAGTGTCACACTAAAAAGAATAAGTCTATCGGCTCGGGCAGTATGAAAATAGGTGGAATAGCAAGGAACTATTCACCATGTTCAGTCAAAATCGAAATTGGTTCATTGCTTTTGCATATTCCCCGAGTTTCTGGGTTTCTAGCGAAATCAGATATCGGGAGGCTGCATAGCTTTCTTTCAATATCTGCGCGCATTGGAAATTATGTATGTACATACAGTGAAATCTCTTTGAGCCGACAAAGTGATTAATACCTTTAAATTGGTCTTTTAGACGCGGGCCTTCTTAAAGGGAACATCGCGTTATTAAACTGTATTCATCAACTGCCACTATGAAAGACATCTTAACACTATTCTGATTTCAAATGAGAGCTTTATTGTGTTGCAGCTTTAAATTACGTTGATCAACTATTGACATGATTACAAAAAATAATAGTTCAGTGTACGAAATGAGTTATTGACATACGGTAGTCTCTCGATTATCGTAATTCAGGGGTATTATTTTGCTTCTGTGAAATTGTATTTTAACTTCATACCCCGATAACGTCTCTACTTTTCCTGGAAGGTCCCCGCTTCGGAGTTACCTTGAAATCCCTTGCGCCCGATTGATGTTTATCCGAAAGACACCGGAAATGGCTTGCCTCGCAGTAGTACGCGACCTTTCGGGTTTATTATTTCAATGCGAAGTTTCCTGGACACCTTAAAGGCAATGCGATGTTACATTATTGCAAAACTTCGCGGTTGCTGGTCGGGGAGAGGGATGGTCGTCTTAAACGGGGTAAACATGCATTGGTCTGATGGAATAATTATTCCGTTCCATAGAAAACTGGTCTCGAAAAGAGGTGGTTTTGTCGAGAGGTCGAGAGTTCCTGGGTAGCTAACGAAATCATAGACACCTGTCACTTCCGGAGGCTGCGTAGCTTTCTTTCAACTTGTGCGCAGATTTTCTTTCAATTGGAAACGAGTAACGTAGGTGCACGTGCCCTTGATTTTGATTTCTGTGCAACACTGCTTATTGGCGCTCAAAAAATTGAAATTAAAAAACAACTCCAGATACAACAAAATAAAGCCTTGAGGGTAATAGTTCAATGTAATACAGATACACTCTAGTGCTACACACGCTAGGAACTCTGATATGAATGTTAATAAAAGAGAGATTTAATTATAATACGCTTATTTTTATTTTAAATTAATTAAACATCATATAAGAAAGTAAGTAAACAAAATCCATAGAATTAAAGAAAAAACAAGAAAAGCTAAAAATAAAGTAATTTATTTCAGTAAAACTGTCCAGGTAAAAAAAAAATATTTTGTTCATTGGTTGCTATGGTGGCACAGCTGAAACGATCAGGTTTCTACGATAAATGAGTTTGAAGTTTTCGCCTTGCATTGAAATGAAGCGTTCTTGTATTCGCACTTCTGTCATTTGTTGGTGGAAATCTGTGTTGTAAGATATGCTGCTTTTGCTGCTGGGTGGTAAACAAGTCTCCAGTTCTGGGGACTGCTTTGACTCAATGTTCGTATTTTTTAGATGTGCCACTAATGTAGCACCCGGGCAATTTAATAAAGGATTTTAATTATTTAACATTTTACCATAAAAAATTGTGATAAATTAAATAATTTTAAAGAAAAAGTATAAAGTATATAAATGTCGAAAATTAATTGTAAGTAATTAATAGAATATTGCTTTAGGCGTAAATATTTATTTTATATGGAAAATTCGTAACGACCATAAATATTATACCGAAGTCACGTTTTACATGGCTTGATCAGTAGGGGAACAAATATTTTAACACATGGTTGTTTGGCAATGTTTCGGAAAAAGTGTTTCCATCATCAGGCTTTCAACCGCCAGAGAAAACACAAACAAATGAACAGCTACATGTACTTGATTACTAATCATGATGTGTGTTGGTGTGGTGAATATTTGAGGTTTCCCACCTTCAAGAACATGTAGCTTTTTATTTGTTCGTGTGTTTACTCCCCCGATGGTGAAAATACATTTTCCTAAACGTTAGCAAACCACCATGAGTCTTTCTTCTTCTACTGACCAAGCCCCGTAGTAGGAGAAATCAGCCGGCCCTACCACGGAAATCGATTCAGTAAAGCTGACGTTGCGATAAGGGGTAATAAATGATGTTCCCTGACGACATGGTGACGTGTAGTGCGGCGGCGACGCGCTCTGGCGACGTGTCTAAGAGGTAAGGGCAGTGAGCGAGAGCGGGAAGGACAAGAATCCAGTGCGTTCGGTAGTGTTCTTCAAAAATGGGTCGTGTTGCAGGGAGGATTCGAACCAGCGTGAGAGCTATGTGAAGGGTCAAATTGAGCGGAGACGGCAATTCCGTTAAATTGAGGGACGTGAACGGTTTAGACCTCTTGTTTCGATCCAGGATTTGCGTACCGATACCGATTTCTGTACAAGTATGTAGAATTTATTTCCAAGCGTACAGAACGTGATTTTTGACGCAGGTGGCAGTAAGGACGATGACGGCGGCGGCGGCTGGGACGACAAGACTGAGGACATCACCGTTTTTGATTTTCTTCTATAATCTACATTATTATGAAGTTGCTTTTAACCATTGTAAAATCTGTATGATTGAAAAAATGTTTGCGTGAGAGAAGTGTTTGCTTGAAAATATGTTTCCTTGAAAAAAATTTGCTTAAAAGGTTTACATTATTATGGAATTTCTTTTAACCATTGTAAATTCTGCATGCTTGAAGTATTTGCTTGGAAAAAGTTTTCTTAAAAAAAGGTTCACATTGTTATGGAATTGCTTTTAACCATTGTAAATTATGTATGCTTGAAAAAATGTTTGTTTGAAAGAAGTATTTGCTTGAAAAAAATGTTTCATTGAAAAAAGTTTGCCTGAAAAAAAATGTTTACATTATTATGAAATTGCTTTTAATCATTGTAAATTCTGTGTGCGTACAAAAATACTTGCTTGACAGAAGTGTGCTTGAAAAATGTTTGTTTGAAAAAAATATTTGCTTGAAAAAATATTTGCTTGAAAAAATGTTTGCTTGAAAAAATGTCTGCTTGAAAAAAATGTTTGCTTGAAAAAAATGGTTGCTTGAAGAAAAATATTTGCTTGAAGAAAAATGTTTGTTTGCTTGGAAAAAAGTGTGATTATTCCCGTCACTCGCCATGCTGGGATTCCTTTTAGTTTTATTTATTTTTCCTTTCTAGACCGTTGAATATAGAAAAATAATTATTTGAAACGCGCGCACTCACGCCACGTTCCCCAAGCACCAGCCACCCAGCTACGCACCCGTAAAGGTAGCTTCAGACATTCGGCATTCGCCGGGCAGCGACCTACTGCTCGCCCAATCCCGAACAGCTGATGTGATTGGCGAATGTTCGCTCCCTTTGATGTGTCCTAATGAACGAAACGCGATGGGTAGGGCGAGCACCGAATGTTTGTCACTGCGAGTAGCAAGCAACTCGTCCACTCTACTCGGGATTAGGCAAGCGGTCGCTCGCTACTCGCCGAAAAACGAATGTGTGGAGCCGCCTTAAACATGTAGTGTGAGGGGCGTCGAAATGACGCAAACTACGGTACCGGCAGCGTGTAAGCGACTCTAATAGTTCTCTCGCCTATATCATTTTACCTGCTCTGAAGTAATCATCTTGTAAGGATTGGTTTACCTTCTCACAGCCACGGTTCAGCTCATCTGACTCGCACGGACGTAGAGGCGATAAGGTTATGACGAACATGATATCAAGACGTGTGATCGTCTGACAGTAAGAGGAAATGAACTTATCACATATATCATGTATATGGCAACAGTGCGTCCGAACTGTCAGTCGCGTATACGCTTCCGGTACTATAGTCCCTGCTCGCAGCTCAACTCATACTGATTCGAATCCTCGCCACGACGTTGTGGTTATTTGTGAAGAACAAACACCCCCGCACGCCCCTGACTCTTCTTCCCACGCTCGTTCACAGAGCCCGCCGCTGTAGACCTTTCACCAACCTTTAGACAGCGCTAGAGCGCGATGCCAATTCCCGTCTCGCGTCGCTCCCTCAGAGCGCGCAGCCGCCGCCGCCGCCGCCCGTACCCAGTACCTTCTGTTAGTAATAGGAGGTACTGCTAGTCACGAAGATCTGGAGACATCTGGCGTCACTTATCCCCCCTTATCGCAACGCCAGCTCTGATATTGAATCGATTTCGGTGGTAGGATCGGTCATGGTGGAAAAATGTGGATGAGTTACTCTGGCACATTGTTTATTTTGCTCGTTCTGCGCATCACCAGTTTGTGTCACGAACTACAAGGCCACAACACGAGCACTTCGTATGAAAAGCCAGACAAGTCGTTGACCGCCATGTTGCGTGGAGTGTGAGTAGTGTTGAGAAACATTTTGAAAGTGGTACAAAATGACAATTTTCAACGGTAACTAACAAAAAAAATAACACGAAGTTGTACGAGACGCAATATTTAAAAGAAATTCTTCATAAAGCTCTTCTAACGAGGTGATATTTGATATCTGGCTGCGTTCAAAATTCCCGCTAGCATTGTGACGCAAACTGGTGTCTGAAGCCTGGATGCGCAAGATCACCCCCTGGGACCGTCTGATATCCCCTACTTCCCCCGTAAACCGCCTTCAGTATGTCCTTAACAAAACAGCCGAGAAGGCTAAACTCACCAAACCTCTCTCCATCTGTGATTGTCGCACGCGCGCGCGCGCGCGGGTGTGTGTGGTGCGATCCGCAGGGCCAGTCATCTGCTCGGTCACCTCCACGTGCGCCTCGTGGGGGGGCGACGCCGCCGCCCCCGCCGCCNNAGCGGCCGGCCGCACCCTCGCCCGCGCCGCGCCGCCCGCGCCGCCCGCGCACCGCCCCGCCGCCGGACGAGGCGCGTATGCGACGCGTGGTCGCCGCGCTAATGCGTGGCCAGGTGAGTCAGCGCATTTAAAAACAAAATGGCGTCTTAATTACTCATTATTATTTTATTATTGTTTTATTATTATCGGTTCGTGATAAATATCGCTGGTATTTCTTGGTTGTACTTGGCGCGTCGGTCCGTGTACGGACCAGCGGTGTTCCGGCCTCGCGGCCATGGGTTAAGAGGGTACGGTACGAAGATATCCCCACGCCGCATTCTGGTCTTCTCAACCTGAGAGGTGAATTTTGTCATTGTCACACAGCAACATATAATGGGACATTGCAAGGAAAACGCACACTGTAATCTTGCCAAATATCTCTGTAATCAACAAAAATCAAAAAGATTAAAAAAAATATATTACAATTACAAATTAAATCAATAAAATAAAAATACGTGTTTAATAATTTGCAAGAATGATGAACTATTTTTTTGTAATGATCGAGCTATAGCGCAGTAAACTAAAGCCACCTGCGGCAGGGTAGGAAACGCCTGGACCAATTTTTAATTATCTCTGATTTGTTGGATTCATCTCCGCCCCGAATAGCAGAATAACTATTTTAAAATGGGGAAAATTCACTAGATGACGCTGTAGAATAAAACTACAAATTCCTGTCAAATGCAATCCGCAACGCACTGTATCTATATCGTTAAATAACTCCTAAACGAAGCGTTCTAGGGCATTAAAAACTAAACATTTGAGGCCTAAAATCATTTCTCAACCCGTAATCTACAGATGAGACCTTTTTGAACATTCCATGCCATCTTTGCTGGGGAGAGAAAATGCGGTGAAGGGAAAACAACGTCTGTCGGGTTCGGCCTAGTGTTCTAATAAGTTTTGCGTGGCGTCGCAGCCGCCGCCTCCCGGCTCAGTGCTGCACCCGCGCGAAGAGGAAGTGGCCCGCACGCAGCTGATGCTGCACGGCTTGCTGCCACCGCCGCCGCCTCCTCCTCCTCCGCCGCCGCCGCCGCCGCCGCCGCCGCCGCCGCCGGGAGCCGGGCTGGGCCCCTGGTGCGCCGCGCCCCGACCCCGCCGCTCAGCGACTCCTCCGCGTCCGAGGGCGACTCCAGCGACGAGGAGTTCGAGCAGCAGCTCTTCCTCCTCACCCTCGCCGCCATGGTGAGAATCGCTCGCCGGCGCAAGCGGGGGGCTCCCAAGTAGGTGGTAAGGCAGCTGGCGTCACTCACACGGGCGGTTTCCTCCCTGGGTAGATGATAAGGCGGTGAGGCTCCTTACGTCACTTACACTTTACGTTTCTTCTCTGGATTGATGGTAAGGCAGCTGACGTCATTAAACAAGTAGTTTCCCCTCTGGATTGATGGTAAGGCAGCTGGCGTTACTAACACGGGCGGTTTCCTCCCTGGGTAGATGATAAGGCGGTGAGGCTCCTTACGTCACTTACACGTGGTTTCTTCTCTGGATTGGTAAGGCAGCTGACGTCACTAAACAAGTGGTTTCCCCTCTGGATTGATGGTAAGGCAGCTGGCGTCACTAAACTAGTGATGTCCTCCCTGGGTAAGCGGTAAGACAGCTGTCGCCACTAACACGTGTGGTTTCCTCCCTGGGTAGATGGTAAGGCTGCTTACGTCACTAACACGTGTTTTTCCCTCTGTATTGATGGTAAGGCAGATGACGTCATTAAGCAAGTGGTTTCCTCCCCCGGAAGATAGCGACACTAAACAAGTGATTTCCTCCCTGAGCAGAAGGTAATAGGTAAGGTAGTTTTAGCCACTAGAACTGCTGGCGTTCTCCCTGAGTAAGACACCTCACGCCACTTAACAAGTGGCCATGTGTGGGTAGATGGTAAGGCAGTGAGGCTGCTTACTTCACTAACACATGGTTTCCATCTGGGTTGATGGTAAGGCACCTGTCGTCACTAGCACAAGTGGTTTCCTTCCTGGGTACATGATAAGGCAACTGACATCACTAAGACAAGTGGTTTCCTGATGGGGAGGCAAGGCAGCTGACGACTAAAGTAGTTTCCTCTCTTGGTAGATGTAAAGCAGCTGACGTCACTAACACAAATCATTTCCTACCTGAGTAGATGGTAAAACTGCCTTCACTAGAACAATGTTGTGTGGATGAATATATTTTACAGCCAATTTTACAATAGTTTTAAAATGTTGAATTAATTATTTTCTAATAAGACTAAAAGCAATGTTACTATTCTGTTGCAGATTTAATAAAGCATCAACCTGTTAAGTCATACTCTGAAGCTTCTGTCATGTGTGAGAAATGTGTACTCAAAATGGTACTTGAAATATGTGTTCTATGTCTATATAATGTACTTAAAACGTACAATTCAGAAAATTTCAGTGATTTTGTTTCTTTGCATCTGTATTTCAGATGCTTTAAATCATTTTCCATTAGATATTTTGACATTGAGAATCTCATAAATATTTTTAAATTTACAATGAATGCAATCATTATTTTTTCTTTTTTTCATTTTGAATCAGTTCATTATTAATGAAACAGATTTTTTTAACTCAGAGATCTCTTCTTTCAATTTATCACCACTTTGTGAAAACAAGGAATTCCAATTTAGTATTAAAAACAGATATGTGCATGAATTCTGAATGTAATTGTGAAGTCCAGCAAATTTTAATCTTTGTTAATAATTTATTAGCTATGTTACTGGTGCTGGATTTCCCGAGTAACAAATAAGCATTTGCTTTAGGTGGAGCTTTAGGAAAAGATACCCATGAGCCTTTTTAACATTATTTTTTATGTTTAGTTTAATTTTCCTATTAAAAATACATTCCTTTTTAAAAGTACACAAATTACATTTAAGCCTTTTAATGAAATAAAAATGTATTTGATAAAATAGTATATTATATATTTCTACTCAGAATACCTTGTTTACATTTGATCTCATTTGAGGATACACAGGGCATTGGGAAAAGTTGCGCAAATCATACCTCAAAAAGTGAAATATGTATGTATAATGAAATATGAATGTGTAGTGTAATGTAGGAATAGGTTCTTATCTATGGTACTTTTCAGAAAACTTTCCTCTATTATAATTTTACTGTAGCTAATGTTTCACTTATTTACTAAAGAAATGTAGTGAGAAGTTTTCTAGTTTGTTTTTTTAATTTATATTTTCCTCTCAATAAATGGAAAGACTTTTTCAACAGATTATCATAATTGGTTTCAAAAAGAATTTTCTTCATTCGATTTAAAATTTTAAAATGTTTTATTGCTTAGTGTAACTAAATAAGTATATATGTATGTATGTATGTATGTATGTATTTATGTATGTATCTGCATGTAACAGATTCATGTTGTATTATTTTGTGTATAGTAGGTAGTTAGGTCTTATCTGTGCACTTTTTTGAGCCCTCATTTGTATATGTGTGAGAAGAGACGTTTTAAGACAGGACTATTATATAAAATCTGTAGTTTGTTTTTCAATGCAAAATATTTTCTATTTCACAGGAGTGAGCATTTCTGATTTTCAGATTTTATTGACATAGCTTGTTTTTTCTAACTCATTTATTCAAATTAGTAAAGGAGTGGGGTAGGAATGCCAGGGCTCAAGAAAACATGCGGTTATTACCTTGTAATGTATATTTGGAATATCAATAAAGATATTAAACAATATGCTGTGTTCTCAAGAATTGGTTATTGTTTAATTATAGTGTCAAAATGTCGTGTTTGTATTTCAACGACCAACTGCAGTTTTGTAATTTCTGTGGAATGATCTTGCCAGTTGCTAAGAGGAGTTGAAAAATACTTGCAAACATCTGAACCTAAGCAATGCAAAGGATGACAGTAATGCCACATGCTAATCAAGACCTGTTTTCTATAAGGTCTTGGCACCTGATATTTCCATTATGTATATTTCTTTCAACCTCTAAATTACAAAATAACCCCAGTGCAATTCAGTTTTGATAAAATATTGTTTCTTATAAATATTTTGTCAGTGATGTATTAAATATATTTATAACTTAACAATATATACTAATTAGCATAAGCCGTGTCTCCACAATAAAAGGTTGGGAATTGTACCTACCCAGAGTGGAAGACTGTGATTTCAATTCTTGTTCATGTCTTACTCAAGTCTTATGTAGCCTTTTTACCATGTGATTGTGGCTCAGTTGGCCCTTCATATCCCACTGGTATGTGGAGACTAAAACAAAAGCAGGGATCAGTTTCATTTTTAAGCCCCTTTTCATTACGATATTCATTATGATATTTTCTTAGTAAAAAAATAAAACATACAACAAGGAGCATGAAATTATAATTTGAATCTTACAATTAAGAAATAAATTGATTTTTTATTGAATCACACACAGGGTTGTTAGATGACTTGGTGGGACTTTCCCAAATGTTGTATACCAATTTTCCAAATCAGGGATTGAAATCATGTTATAAAATGCATGCATATTATTGCATGAGGTTATTGGACCCTTCTCAAAATTTCCAGGGAATCATGTCCCCGCCCCCCCTTCCTTCCCCTTATTGTGCATGCTGATGCATGTCCAATCCATAATCATTCATGTCTCATCATTATTCACCTCTTATTACTTTGGTCTTTGTCATTTTTTATGTCTGTAATAATTTATTTGTTTCTTTGTGCATTTTTCATGCTGAATTTCAAATCTGCAATTGGTATTTTCACATCAGCTTCAGTTTTTTTTCTATAAACCAATATATGTTTTTGACATTTGTGGACTTGTTAGGACGTGTGAAGTACATGTTAAAAATAACTAAATTTCATCAATTAATGTAAATAGAAAATGTAAAAATTACCGAAATATGTTTTTCTCTATAGCATGTGGTAAAGTGATGTTGCCTGGGCAAAGATCAAACATTACTAGTACAGCATGTGTAAAGATCAGCTATTACACTTATTTTGACTTGAAATTGAGAGATCAGGACAACACCTTTGCTCCACAACTATGGTGTTAAGTAGGCTTAGATGATGGAACAAGAGAATCCTAGAGGCAATTACTCCTTAGTATACCTATCATGCTACAGAGAGAAGGAAATTATCATTGAACATATTGCTACTATTGCAAGACAAAATTACAAGGTAATTAATGTCGAGAGATTTTATTTTCTATTCTGTATTTAAGAATACTGTAAACAATGAATAGCACTCTTAAGCTGGAGTCTTGCAAACCCTTGTTCAATAAACTAAGGATTCTTTCTCTATCATGCATGTATATATTTGAAATAGTGGTCTTCACAAAGAAAATTCTCATGGAAAACTAAGACACTTTTACTCTAAATTGTGATGTACACAACTACAACACTTGTCAAAAGGATACCCTACATGTTCTCCACTCTGAAACTATACTTTATGAAAAAAGTACTCTAATAGAGGGCATTACACTTTACAACAAACTGGGTAATGATATTAAAGACAAACACACAATTCATACATTTAAAAGTAAATTGAAAGCTTTTCTGCTTAACAACATGTTGTACAGTGTGAAAGAATATTGAAACTACAACAATACTTCTCTTAAAAAAATATAAATAAATAAAAATGCTTATCCCATTTGACTTTCTGTTTCGTGTTGGTTTTTTTGAGCTGAAGCAGAGAAAAAAAGAACTGGCATATCACATTCTATGATGTAGGAGGAGAATGCCTGACCAAAATTTCTGTTTCCTTCACTCTGGATTTGCTTGATGCAGGACTCTGGATTTGCTTGCAGGTGCTGCTATAGCACTAAGTATACAAAGTTCAATGTGGTTCGTTAGAAAAATTTAAACATAAAGTTTTTAAGAAGATGCAGGCCTGTGTTATTACCACTAATCCTTATTGTCATCACATCCATCCAGGAGAAGGCTATGGCAAACCACTGCTGCAATCACCAGCCTAGGAAAAGCCAGGGCATTTTGGGTAGCTCGTGGCGCACCGTGAAGTCACTTGCCTTTCACCAAGGAGGTCTGGGTTTGATTCTCAGAAATTTGTTCCAACAAAACAAGTTTGCCTGCTTCACAGAAGCTAGTCCAACCCTTACGAAGCATCCAAACCCTACCATTGTCCTAATTCCTTCCCAATTCTGGCCTGTAGTGGCACAGGAACACATGAAGGAGGCGCTCCTGCAGAAATGCTACCTGGCATGACTTCTGGACTACAGACCGCTAATACTACAATATAAAGTATAGTTTAATGGAGGATTACTCCATAAAAAAGTGTTCTGCACCACGTTCTTGGTTTCGAGGAATATTGTCACAGAAATAGTGACAGAATGGAGGGGAGGGATGTTTGCAAGCAGGCCTCCACATCTGTCAGGTTTAAGATATCATAATTGTAAACAAACTCAACAATAATGGACTGGAACTGACGTTGATAGTGACTTAATTTTTTCCATTACAGTGTATAAGTCATCATTTTCTGTGAAAATATGTATAATTCTAACAATGTGCTCTAAATATTATGAAATTATAAAGACTCCCAAAATTTGTAAAAAAAAATGCATTATAAAAATTAGATTTTTATAATGCTGAACCTTGTTTGGTGGACATATTACAATATGCATGTATTTAAATATAATAGAAAGAAGTTTCATAACTATCCTAATCCTTAGTCTTGCGGTTTCTTAGGGCTCCTTAAGATATTAATCCAACCCTGGTTCTTGTCCATGAAAAACAACACAATTGCTAATCATTAAGGATTGTCCATTCTGATTTCAATAATAACCAGTTTTATAGTAAAATATATGATGATGAAATTTGCTTTTCCATTTTTTAATTTTTTTCTTGTGGATATGATAAATTGTAGAAGAATTTACACACATGTGGGATCTGAATATTGTAATATGAGGATTGTATTACCTTATCAGAAGGCCCAAGAGGCACTCCTATATCGGCCATTACCAATTTTATTGATTTAAAAATGTCAAAAGTGTGGAGATTGTAGATGGTGACCCAGAAATGAATTTTTGTTTTGTATCTCAAGGAGGAATACCTTAACAGTTTTTTCAACAGGGGATATAAATCACGAGGGATGGGGAAAGGAATTAATTTCATTTTTATCCCTGGCATCCTCACGAAGTAAACAAACAATACGAATTAGATCCGTAGCTAAGTAAACAACGATTCAAACTTTCCTTCAGTCCCGCGTCGAAATTCTGGCCCTAAGAGGCGTGCTTACTACGAATGGTTAGTTGAAGTTAAATATGAATCGTTCAGTTAAGAAATCATACATTTATTTTTTAATCTGTGTTTATTATTTTGATCTCGGTAAATTCCAAAGTCGATAGTTATTCTCTTAATTAACACCATCTGATAATAAAATCATGAACTATTTGCTGTCGAGCTTCATTTGTCAACTTGTTGCCTGAATATGGTCATATTCTACAGAGGCATGCTACAGTTGCTAGAATGGTGCCAATTTTAGTATTTTACTTGATGGGTGGATAAATTAAACCTGTAGAGATCTGTATTATATATTTGTTATTTTGTTGAAATTGTATACCTTACAGATTTCTTTAATATAGCGTAAAAATTTATTATGCGAAATTATCTATATACTCCTAAAGCATACAAAGAGGAATGCCATAGAAAAACACCATTGTTTTCTTTTATTGTCTTGCTCACTGTAAAGAGATTGCACACATGTGCGTTTTTCATGTAATAAAATAAAACACCATTGTAATGCTATGGAAGAAGATTATTCAAAACTGCAACTTCTTTAGAAATGTCAATATCAAAAAGTTCTGGGAGTGTAATTCTCATAGTTTTCAAATTCTAGTCTTTGTAAATATTGTTGCGCATGTTGCAAGAAACACTTTTGATGTGATGTTTCATGCATTATGCTATGTGAGAAACGGAGCTCGACAACAACGATGTGCGACAATTGTATGCATTTGTTTACTCTTTGAACGGAGGTATCAAGCTTGTCAATCGAACGAAAGGTCTGGGTTTGGGGGAGTACATGATTATGGCCTATTATTGCAGATTAATCTGCTGTGCGCAAGAGATGAGAAAAAGAATGAAAATTTATCACTTTGTATAATTTAATGACTGAAGACTGAGGTTTGGAATACAAGGAAAGCATTCAGTGCTTGAATGACAACTGTTTGTTATTTACATTGTGATCCGGTTTGTTGAAGTAAGTTGTATAATGAATCAGATCAATAATACTTGTATTTGTTTATATGAAAAATGTATACTTAAATGAAGCATTCTGCTTTTTGGTAGTTACAAGAGCAAGAAGATAATATTTAGATTTCAGTGTGATAAATGTTAATTGGTTTGCTTGTTAAATATGGTGTTTTGTCTGTGAATTGTAGAAGGAATGTGTAATCAGGAAAAGGGCCGTACGTTTTATATTTAGAGTTTTTGATTTAAATGAGAATGTCTAATTTAACAAAATATTTTTTTCTGCCAGTTCAATTAGTGATTTATTGTTCATCACCATGAGATATCCTGCAAAAGTTTATATTTAATTCGTGTCTGTCTATTAATTTTAGTTGGGGAATAGGTTCACAAATTTAAAGAATAGTAATAAAATCAAACATTAAATAGATGTGCAAATTATTAATACACTTCATGTTTTGTAAGTTATATAAATGTTAGTATTTCTTGACGATTGTAGAAGTGTTAGGAGTTAATATCAACACAAACGCAGTAGTTAATTATTTTCTTGATTCTAAGATTGGCTCATAAATGCTTTTTTTGTTATATTATTGATAGTAATCATGATAGGTTGATCTAAAATAAGCATATTTTTCTACACTGTGATATTGTTAAAAGCTTACTCAGTAACATGGTTTTCAGAATACAGTTGTTAGATTTTTCTTTTACACTCGTTTATTTTCTTTGTGGCGGGGTTCTACTTGATTAATAGTTCTGTGGCTAAATCTAGTTGGCTAATGGCTTTGATTACAATCTTTCATTTCCTTTGTAAGTTTTTAATGTTAACTCACCAACATTTTTATATTTACGTGTTTTTTAAGGTTGTGTTATACCATGTCTTCCGAAGAACTTTCCCTTACTTGGGGGGATCACCACAGTACCCTTGTTGGGGTATTTGAGAAACTTTTGGAGACTAGCACACTAGTTGACTGCACTATTGCAGCTGAGGGCCAGTATTTAAGGGCACATAAAGTTGTCTTATCAGCCTGTAGTCCATACTTTGAGGTATGTTATTCTTACTATTTAATTACTATTATTTTCTTTGAAAACTTTTCGTATTGAGTTATTTTGATTCAAAATATTTCATTGCCTGCTTGAAACATTTTCTCAGTTTGTTGTAAAAGTGAACTTACCTTAGAGTAAATGTGTATGAATTGAAGAGAAAAAGCAACTTGTATTAAACCATGAGTTTTGAAGAATCATTGTGTATGTTCGGAGATATGACAGTAAATTTGTTGCAAAATTACTTGAAATATGTGATATCTGATTGTGTACTGAAAGTATATTGCAATTGAAGTGGTTTAAAAATTTGGAAAAATGTAATCAAATGGATAGTTGGCATTAGAAAAGAAAGAAATTGGTAACATGTTTGGTATGTGTTAAGATGATGTATGTTAACCAATATTTATGGATGTTGTAAAAATCTGTTTTAAATGATGTTATAAGCTTTGTTTTTAAATGTGATGCATTAGAGGTCTGACTGAAGAAGTACATGAATTGTTATTTTAATATCTATTTTATTAAAATTAATATTTCAAACTTATTAAGGGGGTTTTAATTCCATTTATATTAGTTATATTTTGTTTTAAAATGTTATACTATAAAGGCATATTTCACATAAGTTACTTATAAGTATTTCTTATTACAAGTTGTAATTTCTATGAAGAAACGTAAAACCTACAAAAAATGAATCACCCATTTCGTTGTGTATTTTTGTTTCTAGTTGTTATTTGCCCAAGAGAATGAAAAAAATCCAATAGTCATCCTTAAAGATGTCAAATTCCAAGAACTAAAATCTATGATAGATTTTATATATCGTGGGAAAGTTAAAATTCCAGAAGATCGATTGGAAGACTTTATCGATGCTGCAGAATCTCTTCAAATCAAAGGATTGGGCGGTGGCCAGAAGCCAGATGTGAGTATATATTCCTAAAATATGGCGTTTATTTTTTAACTTATTTATTCGTTGGCCATCAGCCAATTGTCACATAATACAACAGTTTGTTTAATGAAGGTAACAATAGATGAAAGCCTTATTCTTAGATCGAGACAATTCAGTTCCATTTAGAAGTTATATACAAAGTGAGTCACATAACTTAAGCACGTCCTGTAATTTTTGTATTGTTGAAGTTAATGCAATGCAATTTTCACAGAAGAGGGAATGGGATTAATTGATGTATGTATTTGTTTCCATTTTATCACTTTTTTTAATGAGAAATCAAGGTGACTTTCTTTCTCTCTCCCCTCCCCCCCCCCCGTTTTTAGTCTATTAGGACGAGTGTAAAAAGACAAATCCAATGATATACATATTTTTGTGTGCTAGATGAGCATTTTTCTTAGTACTTTTTATTTTTCAGCTCGTTTTTAACAGATATTGAAATGCCCTGAGCATGTGTTAGCAGGGATGGGACTGTGTACTGTCATATTCAAATATCTGTTAAATACTAGTTGCAACAAAAATCAAAATTACCCAAAACAATATTTATCTAACATATGACAATATGTATTTCATAGCATTCGTTTTTTTATGCTTGTCATGGTAGATTAAAAGAGTATGTACAGTTCCATTTGAAGAACTCAAAGATACCTCAATATCTTGTAAAATACAAGTGATAAAACGGAAACTAATGCATATATCAGTTAGCCCCATTCCCTCATGCACTTCCACGAAAATTTCATTCCAATAACTTCAATCGTTCAAAAATTACAGAAGGTGCTAATGTTGTGTGACTCTCCTTGCGTAACAAGTCTATTGATGTTGTTTATATTTTGAAAAGATTATTAAATTAGAATAAGCATTACTCAATTACAAGCTTTTACAATGATGAGCCACAACCTGAATCTGTTAAAGTAGAGAATGTTGGGACATTCTTGGAGAAGTGTGTGTGTGTGTGTGTGGGGGGGGGATTTTAGCAGCCTCGCCAGGGAAACCGCCTACACTTTGCTTATTATAAGTAGGTACTAAGTTACGTAAACTGCTTGAGCTAATCAGAATATTTGTCCAGGGTGTTTTGCTTCTTTCAGAATATCAAACATAACTCTTATTTGCATGTTTCTGTCATGTCAAAATTTTATTTTGTTTCCAAATGATTCATTCACTTTTGTTTAATTCCAGAGTTCCGAGAAAAAAGGAAACGAATCTCCTTCAGCTCAAAAAAGAGGTGGCCTTACATCTCACGCCCTTCGGAAACGCCGGCGTCTGAGTACTGATGATGCTGAAAGCAAATCTTCCCCAAAGAGTGATTTGAACAGTGAGAGCAACAGTTGTGAAAGTGTGTCAGTGACCCAAGAACCGCCAGATATTCTCGGTTTGTCCCAGCCTGAAATTCCTTCTCCTATCGTAACTCTGACAACAGGGTCAGATGTCATATCACCTGAAGTGCATATTGAGCAGAGTGATTCGGAAACAAATGCTTCTGCTTTGCCTGTGGAATGTACGTTACCGTCAGCAGACACAGAGAGACTACTTGAACATGCTGCATCTGTGGTCAAGAGAGAACCGGAGCCGGTTGCAGAGATATTTCTGGATGATAACGATTGCTTTGTTGATCCAAAGAAGGAAGTGTGTGTGGAGGAGATGGCAGATTTGGAGAGCGATGGGATTTCGGCAGTGATGGAGTATGTTCAACAGCAGCAAAGTACTAATCAATATTCTGGTGAGTACTCTTCCTAGACTTAGATTAGAAGACATCTTTGTGACCTAAGTATGACAAAATATTTTCTCAATGCACATATTCAGAGAGATTATTCCTGTCACAGTCGATATTCAGTTTCAACGTCCTTTAGGACTGTTCATTTGCATATTTGTTTTGTCATAATTTGGTCACATGTAGCAGTAGTGCTCTTTTTATTTTTTCTTGTATTGCTCTTAATTATTCTGAGATAAATATTCAATAAATAATGCTGGCATAGTTACTTTGGTTTGCAGTCTGTTGATAGTTAAAGTACAATGATACTAGTATTTCTGTTAGAGTTATACTCCTCATTCATTGTTGTGATTTTTTTAAAGTTGGGCCTCTGTATACAAAGTGATGGTTCCTTTTGTGGAATTTTAAATATAGTTTCTTCAATAAGTAAAACTACAGTTCTTGTGAATTTGAATATTTTGTTGCAAGGGATAATACTGGGAGTTTTTATAAACCAAGACATAAGACTCGTTTGAATGAGAAAATAGTGAATTTATTGAAATAAACGATTTATTGATTACATTTTATGAGTAACAAGTACATATACTAGATTGATGAGATAAGTAATACCTTGAACAAATGACATTGATTTTCCCAAAATGTCATTCATATTTATTAAATTGCTGCAAATCTGTTTGTGTTATTAATAGTTTCAAACATTTTAACATTATTTTTGTTTTTAGTAGACTTGCCAAGTTATGTTTCTTCATCTGTATAGACATTTTCCAAAACCTGTATCATTTTCATTTTCGTGTTCTTTATTTCAAAAAAAAAATATAAATTGAGTAATACATAATATTGTCTGGGAATACATTCATCAGCACTCCCAAAATTCATGATACTTCAGTGGGATAATTATTTATTACTGATGAATTGGTTATTATATTATATGACTGGTTTGGAATCTCAAAAACAGTTCAATAGACTCGAGATGTTCAGATGCTCCTAAAACTCAACCTTTTAGTTGTGTAAGAAGGTAGGATTATGTAGAATTGGCAATATAAGTTACCTAGTTCAGAAATAGCTGTATTGAACATACATTTTATTTTATTTCAAATTGTTTTGTAGAAAATTATAAATAGAAGCAATATACAGCTAGGAGGAGACAACATAGAGATCAGAGGGAAAAAAATTTCTATTTACACAAAAATATAATATGTGTCTTTATTTTTATACATATAACCTTAATGTGTGAAAAGTTAGAAATAAAATAATTAGTAGGAAGGATGAAGGCATTTTAATTGTTACGTCTGGGCTGTAAATCAGCCAATTTCACAAAGCTGTTTTCAGACAAAAGTGTTTTCTTATTATGAATTTTCTGTGTATGTACTTGCGTTGTAATAGTCCATTCAAAGTAAACCACTTGTAGAGAAAAGAGAGAGAAAGAAGCAGTTGACACAAATAAATCTGTGAGATTAACTGACAGATGATTTGAGTAGCACATCTTCTAAATGGATGGGTTACCCAATTGTTTCTGACTAATTGTTCAGATACAAGAAGTTAAAAGAGATAACATTTCTTCATTTAAACTTAAGAGTTTTTCAAGAAGTTTTTGCTCTATTGCAGTGTGATATGGGGTAAATATGGCAAGAACCTGTAATATCTATTTATTTGAGTTTTAAAGCTTAATGCTGTAAGGTTATTTTGGTGTAACAATCATGCTTAACAATGCAAGTGTGATTGTTAAGAAAAATTAGGCAATTATGGGAGTAGTCACTTATTGCAACAACTTGAAAATTAGAGAAGAAAATGTATCGGAATGATGCTTATTATTTTTGGTTTATTTCTTAAGTTCGTTTGTAGGTTAAATGTTTTATTTGTATCATATATTGTTTAGTTTTGTTATTGGTTGAAAAATTGGTTTCAAAATTATTTCAGATATTTATGTTTTGAGTATTTCTGAGTCCAAACTAGTTCTAAGAATTCAGTTTGTCGGTCTGCAACTGTGATTTTCAAATGAAATATGTTGGATTTCTTTGTAAATTTCTTTCTCCTTCTGGTTTGATAACTATTTGTGACCTTTGAATTATGGTTATCTATAGGGGATTTTTCAAGGTCCCCCTAAATATTACACAAAATATGTTTTTAAACCTTTCTCAGAATTAACTCCAAACCTTTAAAGTGTGAATACCTTTTGAACCAAATACAATTTTCTAAATTTACCCTCCTACCCTAAACGGACATGAAGTCAAAAGAAAAGAAATTCTTGGTTTAAAATCAACCTTTACCTACAGATCTGCACATAGATTTGGACTGACAACTCACTAGTGTGGTGAGTTTGCACAAATACTATGTAGACACTACTGGACACTTTGAACCTTTCTCATACTTTTAATGGGAGACAACTGTTCAGTAGCGAACATGACCTGGAATATCCACCACTAATTCAAACTTCAATACATATACAATAACTTTTGAATCACTCTGCGAAACAAGTAAACTAAAAATCTTTCAAACTTATACACTTGGTACTTGATATCACAATGGTTATGACAGGTCAGGCCACTAGGATTGCTAGCTTAAATTGTCTCCCGATATTGCTGAGTGTCATGTATTGCCTCTAGTATTTGGTTGGAACCAAATGTCTTGTGCAGCTGTAAATATATTACCTGTGTTTTCCAAAACGAAGAACTACACTAAATGTTTAAAGACGATTGAGGCCGTGAGATTTGGTTTAATTAAGTTGGGTTGTGCGTTTAAGAAGAAAAAACAGGTTTCAAAAATTTATTTCATACCTGCCTTAAAAATAGAAATAGAAGACATTAAAAAATTGTAATTAGGTACCATGCCTGCCCCAAAGTCAGGATAATTTATATTTCGATTAAAACATTAACTCTGTTGACAGTTCTTCAGTTGTGACACAGCTGACAAAGTGTCAAAGGACTCGATAAATTAATCGAAGTATAAGTACAATACGAGCTTGGAGGTTTGGTCTTCATTCACTCAGGGTTCTAGCAGTTCCAGCTGCTAGGTGTTCAAAACTAATTCTCAAACACATATTACTGAGATTTTGCTTCTTAAACCATGCAAATAATTGAGAAGGAATCTAGAAATGCTATAGTATTTGTCAAAATATAAAAACAAAATAACATTTTAGGGCATTTAAGTATTACAAGTTTAGGGCTTTCAGTTACTTTCTTGCTGCCCCATGTCACCCAATGCATATCAATGTTGACTTTTACCCAAGTTCACATGACTATTAAGAAGAAATAATTTGAATTACTAAGAAATTTGCAAAATCAGAAAATATGGTTGAAAAGGGTAAATAAGCACTTTGTAACTTTTTGAAATTGGAATAGGAATATGTTTTGAATTTTTAATATATAATATTAATTGAAAATGAAAATTTTTGGAGGCATGCCTAATATTTGAAGTTTTGATAATTTTATAAAATGAAGGTTGTATATATGGAGGTCCATCTGCTCTAGTTTTGGCATGTTAAATATTTCTTGTAATGAGTATTAAAATGTATGACATAGTTTATATTGCCATATTTTGTTTTAATATTTCTTGAGAGTCTTTTCACCTTCACGTGTTTCAATTTTTTGCATGTTCATCCAGTATCTAAAACTGGGAACTTATTTATGCATGAGCCTGAAACTATTGTATTACATTTAATTGAAGATGAACTTGTAGATAAGTAGTTCTATTTCATTATGTTCCTGGGTTTAAAATAATATTAAATTCCATGAATGTAGATGTATTACAATTAATTCTTCATTGAAAAATAATTTTAAAATACGGGAATAATCTTTCCATTCATATTGGGAAATTGACTATCAATCTGATAATCTGGAATTGAATTATAGCAGAACTTGCGCTTTAAAGGTTGTAATAATTTTAAAGTTCTACATATTTATCTAGAAAATTACATCTATATGAAATGTGCTTCTGGATACTAATTATATTCATACTGGGTATGTATTTCAATTGTCTGGCTTGTGATATTAAAATGTTTTCCATTTTAGAGAAGGGGTACTAATAGAAATATTGAAATTCAAAGGCGAAACAAAGAAATATATGTTGTGAATGCTGGGTGGTAGGGTTTGCGTTGTGGGGATTACATTTTAATTGACAATGGTTGTTTAGCACTTCAATATAAACTTATAAACAAATCTTTCTAAACAAAATTTTATTTGAACATGCTAGTTTTCTTGAATTCAATTCTTATTTACTGGTTTTAAAATGCCAATATTTCGGCTTTTATTGAGTCTTCCTCAGGACTATATCATAAACAATTACGTCTATGATGCAGCCCTGAGGATGGTTTATTAAAAGTCGAAAGTTAACATTTTAAAAATTTGGTGTCTTCATTATGATCTTCACTCATGATACTCTCGAGTAACACATTTTCTTCATATGAAGCGTCCCTCTGCAAAAAGTATTCTTGCTCCAACATTTACGGGTTCGAGTGCCAGCCGATAATGGCAATTCAGGGAGTGCAGGTGGAGGCGAGGTATAATTTTCGTGTGGGATGTGTTCGTAGAATCTTCCTATATCATTACTAAATATTATATTGTAAAACCTGATACAAATCCTGTCGAAAAGCACGTGAGAATATTAATTACGGTTCTATGGGGAGAAGTTAGTAAAAGTGAAGCCGTGCACATCTTACGTTAACCGACAACCCGCAACAGGGGAATATCGAGAGCCCGCGCTACCCGCTTCACATTTCTAGTGAACCCTTTACCTCAATTCTTCACATTTCAAGTGAACGATTTAGTAACACTCGCCCGTCTCGTCAATATTTTTCGAGAATTGCTGTTGATCTCACGAAGGATCGAAATCCACAAAATTCACGAACATACCCCCCTCCCGAAAAAATTCAATATATTGTTGTTGTTTTTTTTCGAATTTTCTTTCTTTTTCTCAAAATAATCCGTGAAAAAAATATTCTATCGGTTTAGATGAATTTTCGGATTGTTGTCTTGTGCGTGTCATTATACAACCGTGAACCCACATTTTTAAAG